AAAAAAAAAAAAAGGCATTTCCTTGTACATGATTTAAGGGTATGCGTAAATTCATTTGCATTGCTCTCTCAATCGAAATCCAAATGCAAAGTCGTTTAAATTTCTAATAGCCTATATATGTCTTGCTTGCTCATTTACTGTTCATGAAAAAGTTGTGAGACATAGAAATGAAAAACATTTGAAGCAAGTACTCACATAAACCTTTACTTTTGGCAACAATAGGTCGTATCTTATATATTAATCTAATCTAGATATGCCTTAATTTATAAATTATAAAACTTGCATAAAGTTACACAGATTAAATAGTAAAAGTAATAATAATAATAAAAAAAGGTCTTAAGATGTCTTTTTTTTATTAACAATTTATTCATAAACCTTTTCAATGAATTTTTTTTTTTAAAAAAATGGCCACATCCTTTGATAATTTTCCAAAACACCCTCTCAGAATTGATCCAAAAGACTTAATTAGAAGCAGTGAAATTTAACCTAATTGGAGGAATCTGAATCCAAATTGATTCAAACTGAAATAATTTAATCTTAAAAGTAAATTAATTAGATATTTAACTTCACCTTACTTAAAATAATCCAAAACTCAAAATGGCTTGACACTTGTCGCAACTTGGTCAAATTTTTTCAATGAGTTTCTCTCTCTCTTAATTTTTAAAGAGTGTGTATTAATTGTTCGAAACAATTAGAAATCACCAAATTTATGAGATGGAGCAGTCTTTACAAGTCTTCTCAATCTGAGATTTTAAGTTTTCTTTCTCATTTAATCGTTGTTAATTAAGAACTTCAAAATTTTGACCAAAAAACTCTATCAAATTCTATTTTTTATACATAATAACTATTACTTAAAATTCGAAATAAATTATTACTAAAAAAATAAGAATTTTCTGCTAATTTTTTATAATTGGAAAGAGAAATTGGAGTTAACTGTTAAATTTCGATTAAAATCCCTACCACTCCTACTGCCTCTGCCTGACCCAAGCATAGGCAGTCAATTAAAAGACAAAGAAGTAAAAAAAAAAAAA